AATAGTGGTTGTCAAAAGCATTAGAAGCTTAGACTTCTGAATTTTAGTTAAACTAATCAAAGCCATTTAAAGGAAAAGGAAAAAAAAAAGGAATGAAGGAAGAAAGTGAAAAAAAGATGGAAAGAGAAAGATGAGAGAATAAAGGAAGGAAAGAAAAGAGAAGAGAAAAGGAAAGAAAAAAAGAAAAAAATGAGGAAGGGAAAAAGAGGAGGGAGGGAGGGAAGGAAGAAAGAAGTTGGGGGGGTGGGGGATAGAAGAATGAATGGATCTAAGAAGCACTTAAAAGTCCAAACAGTAAGAAAGTTGTTTGTGAGAAACTTACCTTGAAACCCAAATAATTAGACTCAAGCTAATAGCTGAGCAGAAACTGAAAGACTGAACTAAGGGATAAAATCACACCATGAATTTTACATGAAAAATATATTCCTAAAAAGGTTTTTGAAAGGACTTTTTCTCCTGTTTTGCATACACAAGAGCATAGAAATCTTTATGGTGCTGCATTAGCTTAAATACGAAGAGCTCTTGAGTTTCTGAAAACTGCTTAATAGAAAGCCCTGGAGAGGATTTTTAAAAATGCCCCTGAAGATGAAGTTACATATTCTTGAGATGCAATTGAAGAATAAGCCTCCTAACTCCAGACTTTTAAGATTAATGGGTCTGGGAACAATATGTCTAACACAATTTTCAGTCCTACTTTTCTGTTCTTTGCTGCCTAGGGCTTAAATGAATAATGAACAATCCTTCCCTTTCATCGGTATATAAAGCCAACAGGCAACATGCTTATCGCTCCCGATCAGGCCAGGTGTGGAGAACGCTAGGCCTTTGTCTTACTTTCAGTACTGGGCCAGCTCTTCTACTAAAGGTTATTGGTGACAAAAGATTTTGGTTTCCCTTATTCACTGTAGAACTATTTACCATGAAAAACACTTGATAATTGAAATTTAAAAAGATTTACTCTGATTCCTTTTAGGAAGATAAAGCTTAGAGAAGTGATATTATTTCATTCTGAAGTCTCTTCAATGACAGTGGTTTTCAGGTCCATTAAAGGCCATGGCACCAAAGGTAGGGAGCTAAAGGACAAGCAACATGAATTTGTGACAGGCATTAGAACCTTTTGGATTTTGATTTGAGGATAATTAAGATTCATTTCTAGATGTTTGCTCTTCTGAGAAATTTAAGGAAAGGATACCCAGGTAATCATTTTCCTGAGAAAATTAGAGTACTATCTTTGCTTGGCCAGAGTAAGCAATGGTTACATGGTAGGGTTTTTATTGAAGTTGAATATGTTTTCTCTCTCTCCTTCTTCTCCATCTTCCTCTCTCTTCTCTGTCATTTACAGTACTTTATTATAAATGAATTATGTAAGTCTAAATTTATCAAACTTATCTATCACTCAATAAAAACAATTTTTTGTTTTTGAGAAATCCAAATTCTTCCTATGACACACTTAAAGATTTACAATAATCTGACATCAATCAGCTATTTGTGTGAGTGGGTGAGTGAAAGCATGGAAATGTTAATTAGATTGACCTAATCATTCAACAACATACATATATAATACCAAAACCTTGTATCTTTTAGCTTATAGCTTAAGCTGAAAAAATAGCAAAGTTTCATTTCAGGAAATTTGAAAAATACAACAATTTATATAGAACAAGATTGTTAAGATTTATTTTATTTATTTAAAAACAAACTGACTGACAGCAAGAGAGATGCAGAGACTGGGAGAGAAAGAGTTCTTCTACCTGCTGGTTCACTCCCCAAATGACCACAATGGTCAGGCTTGGTCCAGGCTGAAGCAAAGAGTCTGGAAGTCCATCTAATCTCCCAAGTGGGTGGCAGGGTTCCGCATATTTGGGCCATCCTCTACCACTTTCCTGGGCACATTAGCAGGGTGTTGGTTTGAAAGCAGAGTATCCAGGACTCAAACTGGCACATCTATACAGCATGCAGGTACCCAAAGCATTGAATCAAATCATTGTGCCAAAAAAATTTTAAATGTCATCAATACATTTCTCAGAGACTATTTTCTAAGTGCTATAATGTATTGTCTTTATTTTAATATGCATATAAATATTCTTCTGTCCGGAGAAGTTACATATATTTACTTATTGCCTCAAAACTAACATCATATCATGTAAACAATTTTGTTCCCTGATCAACTAGTTTTTAACAAAATGATAGCTATTTAAAAAGAAAGCATTGAATCAAGAAAATCATGTTTCTTCTGGTTAAGTATCTCTGGAGACTAACAAAAACCAAAATGCGCTTAGTAAGGTTGGTGAAGAAACTGGGAACGGGACAAAGAGTTTAAGGAACATAAGGAAACTCTTGTTTGAAACTTGAGTGATTAACATATTTAATTATTTAGTGATTCTTTCAGTGAGTCAGCTTTTAATCCGCAGCTTAAATCTTTATTGTTTGACTCAAGCTAATAAAATATCTTATGAAATTAAAAAAATGTTTAATGTGGCTATTAAAAGCCTAATCTCCCTCAGTGCCTGACTATGCCAGATAAGTTGCTCCAACAAGGCAAATTTATTTAGTTTTGCCTATCAAGTTCCGTATTTAACTTTCAATTTCGTTGCTGACATTTTATCTGCAATTGTAAGCACAAAAACGTTCCAACTCTGCATTATCAAAATCAATTCATTTATTGGAAACAATACTAACAATATGCTAGTGACTATAGCCATGTAGTTATTCAAAGATATTTAGCTATTAGAGTGTCTTTATCACAAAAGTTTTGTTTCTAATAGCCTTGACAGCATCTTGCTTTGCTCCTTTTAAAGATACTAGTATCTTCTTACCTGTTACTTCATGTCTACAGAACATTCATGGGCTGAACACATTTCAGTAATACTTTTTGTATGAATCTAAGTCTGTCAGTTTCTTCTAATACTGTTTCATTTCTGAAAGTAACTTGAACTTTTAAAGTGGGTCAGATATTATCAGTGCATCATATGTGTGTGTATGTGTGTGTGTTTAAATCATTTCAGTATTTTATAAATAAAGATGTAATATTCTTTGTTATACTTGTCTGCTTGAACATATAGAAAAATAGCAAAATAGAGATATATTGAATATGCAGAATAGTAAAAATTCCACTAAATATCTTCTTTGAGCTAATTAATTAAGATTATAGATGTTCTCAGAAGAGACTTTGTAATAAGAAGCTTAGGAAGAACATTTTTTAGGTATCCTAGAAAATAATGACCTTGATGATAAGCTGTATGAACCTATATCAAGATAACCAAGTGCACAGACTAAAGTAAGGAACAACAAATTTTAAGTCTATTTGAATTTTGAAGATTGGCATAAACATGATGCCAAATGTTTAATCCAAATACATTTGCTTTATTAAATGGATAACTGAGTTTTTTAAAGTCTTTAAAAAAATAAAGTGGGGGGAAGGAGTAGGAGGAATAGAATAGGAGGAAGAGAAGGAGGACAGTAAGGAGATTGGCTAGAAGAGGAGGAGCTAAAGGAAAATTGTGAAACCTCATGGGCTCTTCATCCAGATCTGAATGCCTTAAGGGCTGATTCTGAGGCCAGAGTGCTGTTTAGAACATCTGCCATTCTATGAGTCTGCTGTGCATCCCGCTTCCCGTGTAGGATCATTCTCTCCCTTTTTTATTCTATGGGTTAGTATTAGGCATGGAAAGCCAAGACACTTTGGCAAAAAAAAAAAAATGACCTAAATGAAAGATCTCTGCAACTGAGATCCCAGTAGAAAGAACGGGCCATGAAAGAAGGAGGTACCTTTCTCTGAAGGGAGGAGAGAACTTCCACTTTGACTATGACCTTGTCTAAATAAGATCAATGTCCACGAACTCAAAAGGCTTCCATAGCCTTGGCAACTCATGACAAGAGCCTAGGGAGATTACTGACGCCATAAACAAGAGTGTCAATTTGTTAAGTCAACAACAGGAGTCACCGTGCACTTACTCCTCATGTAGGATCTCTGTCCTTAATGTGTTGTTCAATGTGAATTAATATAACTAGTACTCAAACAGTATTTTTCACTTTATGTTCTGTGTGGGTGCAAACTGTTGAAATCTTTACTTAATATGTACTAAATTGATCTTCTGTATATAAAGAGAATTGAAAATGAATCTTGATGTGAATGGAATGGGAGAGGGAGCGGGAGTTGGGAGGGTTGCGGGTGGAAGGGAAGTTATGGGGGGGGCACTGTAATCCATAAGCTGTATTTTGGAAATTTATATTCACTAAATAAAAGTTAAAAAAGAAATAAAATTGTAAAAGCTATTTGCAAAAGAAAGTTTTAAGGGAACTTTCATAAGAGAAGCCTCTATTGTATTGCTAAAAGAATTTGTACAATAGAAGCTCCTCTTGGATTACTTTAGTTACATATTAAATTTATGATATTGACTTTCCATTACATATTTTTTCTGTGGGGAGCTGACCTATTTATATTTCTTTTCTTTTTTCACTATTCTGCTTGGGAGCATAAATTACAAATCAATAATAGTCCTATATCAAGAAATTGGTCACATTAAAAAATAGCACATAATTCTGAAATTGATCCTGAAGCTTATCACTTTCTAGGCCTAAGATATTATGGGTAGTACTGAATTTGTAAAGTGTGAACTTCAGTGGGCTTGTGGCAGTTGATGAGTCTGGGAAGATAAGACAGAGTTAGAACATAGGGATTTTGAACACATGATTTATTGGGTTCACACTTCATTCTTTGGCATGGCCATTAAAGTGCCAAGTGGTTTGGAAGTGACAAAATAATATGTTACATCTTTCTGAATCAAGAATTTCATTTGATACTGGTATGATGAGTTTTTAAGGGTAAAAGGCTTAAAAGGTTTAATGTTATAACATATTATTATGTTATGAAGTATAATAGCTATAGTAAAGTTTGAGAATTAAAGTATATTGGAATCTGGCAATATATTGAATATATTGTAAAGATATGGTGTGGTAACTGCTTTATACAATACATCTAACAGAAATTTGGGAATTTGTTGTAGGTAACATGGTTTGCATTGAGAACTAAAAAATGAAAAGAGGAAGGAGTTTTAAGAAGTTCATGGAAAAGTATAATTAAGAGGTAATGTGAATTTCCCATGAACATTTTGAAGTCCCCTTTTAATACCTGTTGATCTTAGAAGGGCATTGTCACAAATCAAGAGTTTGAGCAGCAGCACCTTACAAACTGAAAAATAACTCTTGAAATTTAATAAAATAGGAAAAAATTTCAGATTAATGATGGATAATGATGATTCAGAAAACAACTCAAGATATTTTGTTTTAGATTCTCCATTATTACATAGTATTTAATCAAATACATCCTTAAAGCAGGCTTCTGAGATGATAGAGTACACATCATTTATTCCCAGCTACTTTTCAAAGTGCAAAGTATTATGTCAATTGCCTCTCCAACTGTGGGAACATTATGACAATATGATAGGGTACATGGTGTCCTGGGTCTCTGGGAAATCACTGTGTCTGGCACCAGAGATTTAGAGCTCCCAAATTCCCTGGGATGGGTCATTGCAACAGGATCCATACTCACACTGAGGACTGCACAGATCCTTTGTGCAGTTCATGTAGTGGTTCAGGTGTGTTGTACCTTCTGTGGGCTAACTCCAGGCAATGGTTACAGTGGAAAAGAGGAGCTGAGGATATGATTACACAGACAGAGCTGATCATATTTGCCCACTGATAACAATAGAGGAGATCTACCATGACAACTTGGTTGTCACCCTGGATATCTGCTTCACTGGAGCACTGACTAGAGCTCCCTGGCCACATCCAGCACACATTTCTGGGTATTCACTGAAAGATCAGATATTCCATTAAGCCACAGAGGCATAGTTCAAGATAATAACCATCAGAGGAGAAAGCCAATAAGTATTTCCACAAATGCCTAAAAATAAATGCAGAAATTCAAGAATCAAGGATAAAGAAGACAACATGACTCTTCCAAGGAACACAACAATATGTCAGCATTAGAATGTGAAGACAAATGGATTGATGAAATGCCTGCAAAAGAAATTAAAAAGCATGTTCATAGGATTATTCAGAAGCAACGAGAAGCAAATTCATGAGTTAAAGAAATCCATACTTGACATGGAGGAAAAAACTTTCATGAGATTGACTTGTTGAAGAGAAATCAAACTGAAATATTAGAAAAGAATGATTCAATATGTTAAGAAATAATATAGTGGAAAGCCTTAACAGACTTTGTGAGGCAGAAGAAAGAAAACCCATGCTAGAAGACAAATCTTTGGAAATATATGTCAAACCAAAAAAATAAAAAAGAAGAAGGAGAACAAATCAGGCAAATTAAAATTATGGGATAGTATCACATGACCCAACATATGGGTCTTAGAAGTTACTGAAAGTGTGGAAAGAAAGATTGACTAGAAGTCCTATTCAGTGAAATAATTACAGAAAGTTTCCCTAATTTGGAGAAATAGATGTCCAAGTACATCAGAAACACAGAACTCCTAATAGATATGAAAAGAAGAGAACTTCACCACAGCACACTTTAGTCAAACATTCAACAATAAAACATAAAGAAAAGATTCTAAAATGTGCACAAAACACCAGATGATGTTCAGAGGATCTCCAAGTAGACTCAAAATTGACATTTCATCAGAAACTCCACATACTATGAGAGAATGGAGAGACATAGTCCAAATCTGAAGAGAAAAAAACTGTCAACCCGGACTACTGTACCCTGCAAATCTCTCATTTATGCCTGAAGGTGAAATAAAGACTTTCCATAACAAGCAAAATTTGAAAGAATTGATTACCAGCCTTCCAAAAGATGCTTAATGATGTGCTGCACAGAGAAACATAGAAGTATAGTCATCATCATGAAAGAGTGTCAGAGCAGAAATTCTCCCAATAAAAGTACAAAGGAAATCCAAAGTACACAATAAGAATATTCATGGGAAAATGGCAGAGCCATGCCATCACTTATCAATATTAACTCTGAGTGTAAATGGTCTAAATTCTCTAATTAAAAGAGACAGATTCACTGAATGGATTAAAAAACAAGATCCAGGGGCTGGCGCTGTCACTCAGCAGGTTAACACCCTGGCCTGAAGTACTGGCAAACCATATGGGCATTGGGTCTAGTCCCAGCTGCTCTTCTTTTAATCCAGTTCTCTGCTATGGCCTGGGAAAGCAGTAGAGGATGGCCTAAGTCCTTGGTCTCCTGCACTCCTGAAGGAGACCCAGAAGAAGCTCCTGGCTCCTGGTTTGGATTGGCACAGCTCTGGCCATTGCAGCCATCTGGGGAGTGAACCCTCAGATGGAGGACCTCTCTCTCTCTCTTTCTCTCTCTCTCTGTGTAACTCTGACTTTCAAATAAATGAATAAATCTTTAAAATAATAAAACAAGATCCATCTGTTTGCTGTTACATGAAACATACATCACCAACAAAGATACACTAGGGCTGAAAGTATAAGGATAGAAAAAGTTATTCCCTGTTATCAGAAAGCAAAAAATGAGCAGGTGTGGCCATTCTTATATCAGACAAAATAGACATTAATTTTTTTTATTTTATATTTTTTGCCAGGCAGAGTTAGACAGTGAGAGACAGAGAGAGAGTTATAGACAGTGAGAGAAAGAGAGAGAAAGGTCTTCCTTCCATTGGTTCACTCCCCAAATGGTCATTATGGCCAGCACTGCACAGATCCGAAGCCAGGAGCCAGGTGCTTCCTCCTGGTCTCCCATGCGGGTGCAGGGACCCAAGCAGTTGGGCCATCCTCCTCTGCCTTCCCAGGTCACAGCAGAGAGCTGGACTAGAAGAGAAGCAACTGGGACTAGAACCCGGTGACCCAATTGGACTAGAACCTGAGGTGCCAGCATCTCAGGCAGAGGATTAGCCAAGTGAGCCACAGTGCCGGCCAATAGACATCAATATAAAAACTGTTAAATAGGCAAAGAAGGTCATTATGTAATGATTAATGGATCAATTAAAAAGGATGATGTGACTATAAAAATATATATGTACCCAATGCCAGGATGCATGGCTATACAAAACAAATGTTAAAGGATCTAAAGGGAGACATAGAATTCCAATAGAATAGTAATAGGAGACTTCAACACCCCACTTTCCCACTTTCATCGATGGACATATCAACTAGACAGAAAATCAACAAAGGAAAACAGAGAAAATCTATACTATGGACCATACAGACCTAACTGGTATCTATAGAACTTTTTATTTGACAGGCAGAGTTAGACAGTGAGAGAAAGAGACAAAGAGAAAGGTCTTCCTTCTGTTGGTTCACCCCCAAAATGGCCGCTGTGCCAATCCAAAGCCAGGAGCCAGGTGTTTCCTCCTGGTTTCCCACGAAGGTGCAGGGACCCAAGCACTTGGGTCATCCTCCACTGCCTTCCTGGGCCACAGCAGAGACTTGGACTGGAAGAGAAGCAACTGGGACAGAATCCGGCACCCCAACCTGGACTAGAACTCGGAGTGCCAGCGCTGCAGGTAGAGGATTAGCCTAGTGAGCTGCGGCGCTGGCTCAGAACTTTTCATACCATAGTTGAAAAACAAACGTTCTTCTCATTGGTGCATAGAACTTTTTCTAGGATAGACCATATGCTAGGCCATAAAGCAAGTCACAATTTCTTCATTAGTTGAATGGCATTTAGGTCAATTCCATATCTTAGCTATTGTTAAGTTGACCTCAATCAACATGGAAGTCCAGGTAACTCTTTCATATGCTGATTGGATTTTCTTTGGGGAGATTCCCAGGAGTAGGATTGCTGGGTCATATAGTAGATTTATTTTATGCTTTCTGAGGTATCTCCACATTGTCTTCCACAATGGCTGTAATAGTTTATATTCATAACAGCAATGGATTAGGGTGCCTTTTCCCCCACATTCTTGGCATCATTTATTCTTTGTAGGTTTCTGTATGAGAAGTACCCTAATTGGGGTGAGGTGAAACCTCGTTGTGGTTTTGGTTTGTATTTCCCTGATGACTAATGATCCTGATCATTTCATTTTTTCATGTATCTTTTAGCCATTTGAATTTTGTCTTTTGAAAAATGCCAGTTCATATCATTTGCCCATTTCTTAACTGGATTGGCTTCTCTGTTTTTTTGTTTTGTTTTGTTTTGTTTTAGTTTCTTGAGCTCTTTATATATTTTGGATATTAACTCTTTATCAGTTTCATAGTTTCCATATATTTTCTCCCATTCTGTCAGTTGCCTCTTGACTTTACTCAGTGTTACCTTTGCAGTGCAAATGTTTCTCAGTTTGATGTAATCTTATTTCTCTATTTTGACTTTGATTGCCTGTGTTTCTGAGGTCTTTTTCAAGACTTCTTTGCCTACACCAGTGTCTTCAAGAGACTTTCCAATGTTCTCCTCTAGTAATTTGATGGCATATGTTCATAGATTTAGATCCTTGTTCTATTGTGAGTTGATTTTTGCATAAGGTGTAAGGTAGGTGTCTTGTTTCATACTTCTGCACATGGAGCTCCAATTTTCCCAGCACCATTTGTTAAAGAGACTGTCCTTTCTCCAGGGGTTGATTTTAGTTCCCGCATCAAAGATTAGTTGGTTGTAGATGTGTGAACTGATTTCTGGAGTTTCTATCCTGTTCTGCATGTCTTCATGTCTATTTTTGTACCAGTAATAGGCTTTTTTTATTGTAACTTTCTTGTAGTATGTCATGAAATCTTGTATTGTGATGCTTTTGGCTTTGTTTTTATTATTTAAAATTGCTTTAGCTGTTTGAAGTCTATTGTGTTTCCATATGAATTTTAGCATTTTTTTCCTAGATTTGAGAAGAATGTCATGGGAATTTTGATTGGGATCATAATGAATGTGTAAATTACTTTTGGTAGTATGGACATTTTTGATGATATTAATTCTTCCAACAAGAAATCTACTGTCATTCTTAACTTTGTGCTTCAGTAATTTTTTTTTTCTCTTTGGCAGCTTTATTACTTTTTTGTTTATCAATGATTGTAAGCAATATGATTATGATATGACTTTGCCATTCCCTTGCCCGCAAAGGAACAATGATACTCGCAGCTGATCGGTCTTCTGTAGACTTTTATTGAGAAAATAACAGC